TGTCATTGTAATATTTAGAGTATTATTGACAGCACGCTGCCTCCTTTACTGGTCTCAGGACGTACAAATCAAAGTGTTGCAGTATGTCTGGCTTGTAAATAAAATGATGCTTCGGTTTGAATTGTTTGTGCACATACTGCTTTTCTATTCTCTGGCCAGAAGAAGTGACGAAACACAACATATTTTTTTCTTGTCTACACGCAGAAAATGTATGACTAAATTCTGTTTCATGTAGCTACAATGATTTAGCCGGGCTATGTCCAAAGGTTCAGACGACGAGAGTCTTTCCACTAAACAACAGCGTGTTGTTTTTCTATGTATTTATAAAAAATAAAAAAAAGGTATAACCTGTTAACAACACATTAGCAAGCTTTAGAGGTGCCAGGGCTAGCTTTTTCCCCCTGTTTCCAGTCTTTATGCTAAGCTAAGCTAACCGGCCGGCCGCTGGTGGTAGCTTCAAGTGTACCATTCAGACACCAGAGTGATACCACTCTTCTCTCAAATCCCGTCACGTCGACCTCTTCCTCCGAGGGAGCCAACTGGGTGACTGGATTATGCCCACACAAATTGATTAAAACCAAAGCGGTAATGCCCTTTTGTTAAAACACATGACTGATAACTAGATTCATCATGAGTTGGCGCGCTGGTATTTGTATCTTACTTCCTGAAAACTGTTTGGAAGCCAGCCATGCTGTAGATGCGTTTCTGTGTTGAACACGGGCCAATTGTCTGTCTTTTATGAGTGAGTAGAAGCGCTTGTCTCACAATTATCTGACTTCGAACGCCAAGTGAACTGGCCTGAAGCAACCAACCAGCGATGCTCCATTCACACGGAGGCACCTGTCACACTCGAGCCTCAGATCTCTCCCATGTCAAACACATTGGTCCCTCTACCCAGAATGCCCTGGGGCTGTAACCCAGACCGTGACTGCTCACCAACGACTCGGATCACCTTTAACTGGATTCAGTGCGACGTTCACTCTCACCTGTAGTGTTTCAATGTGATTCCGCTACCTGCGTTTTTTCAACAAGCCTCAACTTTAATTGCATTTGTAAGCAGTCCCACTCTGACAGCATTAGAAGCTTCCTGATGAATATGGAGCGCTTTAGCAAACCTGCTTGTCACACAACCACGATGTTTCATGCCCTTTTGATGAACATTGAAAGGAAACAATTAGGTGGGGGAGGTAGTGAGGCAAAGCAGCACATTCAACAGCTTTAAATGCTAATTAGCTAATGGCAGGATGAAAGAGGCAGGCACCGGGCGGCGTTTCACGTCAACACCCTCAAACCCTGGCTGCAGCTATACCCGCTCGTTTCATCTGAATTCAGCGAGACCACCACCATTTTGTTTCCTTGAGTACCTCAGACATTACAGCCATCTTGTGCACCGTGAGATTTTATTTAATGATCTCAGATGAGGCTCAATTTGTCTTTGCAAGAAGTGCCTCGTGTTACTTACCTCCTTTTGAATCATCTCTTATTCACACTTTTAATCACTGCTTCTGTCTTCTTTTCTTAGTTATAAAGACATTTTCTTTGCCCGGCACAGAAATATTCTCATGGTATTCGAAAGTTCACAATATATTTTTTTGTATGTGCTTTTACCTCGGGTGAAGGCAAACCACTTACACACAAACTTAAGCCCTTTTCAGGCGTGATTACGTAACATTGCTGGTTTCATCAAGCTGTGTAAGTGATGACATGCGTGTCTTTTACATCAATGATCCTTTCACATCAGTGTCACCAACGTCTCAGCATTCTCCTGCCTGTTTTTATAAAGTCAAACATGCACAAGCACTGAATGACAAGAAGTTAAGTTGGGATGTGCAATTCTTAATGTGGACACATGCTGCATAAATCATTTAGATGGATATTCATTTATTCAACATTTACAAGGTTTCAATGTTATTTTATTGACATTGCACATGATTGGAGTTTAAAAATATGTAGAATACGTGTTGGTAGGAATATTACTGTAGCTGTAGGAGGGTCTTTTTAACCTCCTCTGGTCTACATCGGGCAAATATTGTTTATCTATCCATCTATCTATCTATCTATCTATCTATCTATCTATATAAGATAGATAGAGATCTCTGCAACAACTTAGCTTCTTAGTTTATTCTACAGATATTTTGCATAAGAATGGGCATTTACATTCACACAAGATGCCGGGTCTGTAATTGTAGTTCCAATCAATTTACTGGTAAATCACAGACTTGTATCCAATTTATTATAAATCTTTTCAAACAGATTCTGCATTCACATGCTTCTGTACCTGAACGTGACTTTGGTGGTGGAAGCTTGCTGGTTTCCGTTTGTAGTCAGAGTAGTATTAACTACTCACGTTTGAGGCTTTGGTTGAATGCAGGTCAACAGACGAACGCGTTGGCCCAAATGCAATCTTAGAACTCACCGGCTATCGTCAGACGATGATTTAGCTTTTTATTGGTTTAAAATGGGGTCGTTAACTGGCTGCTCGTGAAACAATCTGGTCGTACACGTCGTCTCTCAACTCCCAACTCCAGTCTCGCATCACAAGTTGCTAATCGGACTGTAAACAACGAGCGGCGCATATATAAGGAAGTCTCGGCCCGTATATCAGCCGGTTACACTGGAGCCCCAGAAATACAGCTCATCGCTCCCAGAGGCTTATCGTCTCCGGACCAATGGCCGATGGGTTCTGAGAATGATATAAATCTAACAATGACTGACACTGACTCACAGCTCTTTAAAAGTAAACACAATGCTAAATCACTCTGGATTAAAGTGCCTTTCTAAGTGTCTGACATGGACTTTTAAATGAAGACTCAATTAGGCCGCTCACCTTAGGAAGCTATTTAAGAAGAACTGCATGGTCTCAACAGTTCACAGGATCGATCCTTACATTGTAGGTGGAGAAGCATGGACCCTCCGGCTAGTTGATGAAAGAAGGTATTCGTCCTCTGTACGTTAATTGGAGTCAATTGCTTCAGTGTGATAATAGTTCCTCAGTTGTTGTTAACTGAAAAGTGTTGTATATATTGTGGTAGACAGTGATTGTCTGAGGTTTTTCTATATTTTTTCTTACTGTCTACAAAAACAAAACCAACTGAGCTCTGTCTGTCTGTCATAGATGTGTGTCAATAAGTGGCGAGAAAGAGATTATTTATTGAAAAAAGGCTAAATATTTCTGCCCCAGGGCCTTTTATTTTTTAGCAAAGAATAAGTAGTGCATTTCTTGGGGACTATTGTCAGATGGGAATTAATAGACATTTGGTGCACCACTGAATATTTGTGGCACCAGATTCAGAACGGTTTGTGTAGGATTGACTACAGCGGCCATGTTCATCACCATGAAATACTCAAATCATGAAATAATATGTCATCCGGTGCAACGGTGCGTGGCCTCATTTACGTGCTCTTTTTGGAAACAGTTGAGGTCGATGTTACAAATATAAATTATATATAGGCCTGCAACTGATGATTGTTTTCATTGTTTATTTATCTGACAATTGAAAAATTGCCAATGATAAATTAGTAAACAATGCCTCATTAAAATGTCTTGATCGGTACCAACAGTTAAGAACACACGTATGTTAAATTAGAAAATGTTATAAAACAGTGAAAAAACAGAGAAAAGTACCGTGATAAATGGCTCCAACAATGATTTGAATATCAATTAATAAGACATCAATGCTTTTGCACTTCACACAATGTTTTACCTCTGAATGTAAACATGAACTTTGATTGTTTACAACAGAACTCCACATTTGATGACAATAAGACAAATGGAAATCATTGCCAGCGTTATCCCATGACACCACATTACTGGACCCGCAACCTTCATCTCGTTTAACCCCAATTAAATCACACATAGTTTTGGGCCGTCGGGGGAATTTTCTATCTTGGAGACGGCACACTTGACTGGGAGACGTAATTTAATTGGAATCACCGTGTCGTCTGGAAGGAGGAATCAAGGGGCTCCTTTGAGGTCCCCGTCAATGTCTAACAACTGTGAGTGTTTACATATTTTATCACTCACCGGTGTATTGCACTCAAGTCGACATGGACTGTAATCTGAAATAAACATCTCTATCATCTCTCCCCAGTTTGTCAGGGAACCATACAGATGGGTTGCAGACTTTGTTGATTTCCCTTAAAAGCCCCAAATTTGTCACAACCTTCAGTGCTCCTTTGAGGGAGATAGAGAGAGTGTGAATAAGAGGCCGGGGGCAGCCGGAGAGGAAAAAGCATGCTGTCATGAAGAGAGCCGCTTCCTGGCCGGCTAGATGCAATCACAGGCACTATCTGATAGCGCCGGAGGAAATTGGATGAGCTGAGAGCCGTTGGCTGCCAGTGATGGGAAAGATGACTCCTTTGTCACTGTGTCAGTCAATTCCATACTCTCACCTGAGAGACCAATCAATAACACGGGGAGAGAGAGGGGAGGTGTGCCGTGGGCTGCTGTCAATTATGTGCTGTAAAACATCCGCTCCGTCACTGGGCTGCGGTATGGCTTGTCACGTGGTGTGCATAAATATGTCACGGGTATGCTTAAATGTGATGCCTTTCTGTAGATCTAGAAGTATGCTTTTAATAAATGATGACACGTTAGAAGTACGTTTGAATCACTAGACGGACACAGGAATATTGTGCGTATGGATTTTAGCATTTTATTTGTGTGAGTCTTGTCCGTGTGACAGTATTTTTGGTGGCGGTTGTGATAGATTTTTGTCTCATCTATTGCTGCTCGCAAGTGGTGTAACTGCTCTCATTAGCAGCTGCATCATTAGTTGTGCAATTACAGTGCAGAAAACCCAGAGAGACTCATAACCATCAGTTGCTGTCAGGGCATGTGGTATTACATCAGGCCATTTCGCTTGATGCCGGTGTGTGAACAGACACTCACTGAATGATTCATAATCACGACACCGCTCAAGATATTTACCATATTCTGTGCCCAATGGTAGTTCTGTGTGAGATGACGCTAAACTGTTCTTCTCTCTCCCCCCCTACAGTTCCCTGGTACCTCTGAGGAGTCTGCTTCTCCATTTGTCTTCATCTGCACCAACCCCCAGGAGCTGCTGGTGAAATTCCCCATGAAAGGGAAGCACAAGATCTGTAAGTCCTGCTTCTTTCATGTAAGGGGAAGTGAAGTAGATGAAATTAGCCTGAGCCAACTGGATTCTTTCTTTTCAAATTTCTTTATTATTATATTTTCTTTTGTCAGCTTTCTCCTCTGCATTTGTAAGCACACACACACACACACATGCATAGCTGGACCTGCAAAAGAGTGATAATGCCGGGAACGGGGTCTGATTACTACATGTTTATTGATAGAACAAAATGAAATGCACAAACCGTTGTCCCACGTACGCATGTGCAGAGCCTCTCTGAGAGCCATCTGTAAAGACGGGGTTTTGCTGTCTGGTTGCCTGGGGGACAAGCCAGGCCTGGATGTGCGATGCTGTATTGTGTGATTTATAATAGGACTCAAACACATTTTCCCTCCGCTGCCATAGCCGCTGCTGCAAAATGATGTACCTGCAAGCTCTTTTCTTAATATTTCAAAACCCTCTAAAGACTTGAGAGGATTGTTTATGCAGCTGTGCCTCTTTCACATCTTTCTGGATTGATATAGAAGACTTTTTTTTTTTTTTTTTTTAGCGGCTGAAGGTAAAAAATGTAGCAGGAGTCTGACTAACATGGATTTAATGACCGTGTCTCCATTCTTTAGATTTTAGAGGTTTAGCACAGACATGGCCAGTGGACTTGAGAAACGCATTGAGTTTGATCACTGATATAGAAGATTTCAGAAGACTATTAATATTGTTTAAGTCTTCCTCTCTGTCTTTAATTGTTTATACTTTTCATTCTAACTGTGATTATGATGGTCTTGAATAAAAGGCTCAACCTGGTGAAACATGCTGACGCATCGTTAGAGGCCGGCTTGCTGTCGTGGGCTCAGATCGCTGGACGTGCATTATTTAGACCTACAGCTTGTGGTTTTATGAATCAGCATCTTACGTTCTATCGCTGGTGAAATATATATGGCTTTGTTGAACTTGCCCGTTGTAAATTGTTAACCATTAATAGTCTTTATTCATTTTGAATGTAACTGCAGCCTGTTTTTTTCCAGTTAGTTGTGATAACTCATATTTTGCGGACTTGTTTTCTGAAAAAAAAAAAAGATGAAATGCTGTGTCAGAAAAAGGAGAAATACTTAGATAAGCCTTTACTCTTTGGTTTTGGTTTTCAATGACCTTGCATTTATACCATCTACAAAAACACTACAGCAGCAGTATCTTTACTGAGGTTACCTTCACTCTGAACCGGTGGCATTCTGCATCGCATTGCCTGCTATCGGATGTAACGGTACAATACAGTCCTCCAGCTTTGTTCCAGCTCACACATTACACTAACAGCTACTATCCGAACGTTAACAACACAAAAGCTTACACAGTGGAACAAATTCACAAGTTAGAGCATTGATATACCCTCAAAAACACCAGCTGGTGATTCTGTACATACTGTATGTCATTCAAGAACCTGTGAAATGCTTTTGGTAGTGAGCTCCCATCACATAAATCAAATCAAATATAAAAGTATTTCAGAATATCACAAATATGCAAAATTGTTAATTCATTATGCACCGAAAGTTATTTACCCACCTTTAAAATAAAATAGGCTATCTCTGTTTATAATACCTTCCATACCAGCTGTGTCTATTCTCTGCATGTGCAGAGTTTTGCATGCATTGTCATCATGTAGTGTGCGTTGATCACAGCACACTCCCTGCTGTCCACATTAGCCTGGTATTTGGAGCGGTTATCCTGACCCACTGGACCTACACAGTCCAGCCTGTCTCATTCTTCTGTCACCAGCTAGCTTTTTTCTCTCTCTCTCTCTCTCTCTCTCTCTCTCTCTCTCTCTCTCTCTCTTGCTCCTTGCTTCCACCTCAATTCCCACTGCATCTCACGGGTCAAGGCAATGCCGCTCATCTTACTCAGGGGGGCTTAGCACGCAAGTATTTTTTTTTTGCTCCCCCAACAGCTTACATCGACAAGATCCCCTTGTCACTGGCATTGCCAGCCATCTCATGCCTCATCAGAATGAGCGAGGGGAAAAAAAAAAGCTGCAGTCCCTTCTGCCTCTTCCGCTCCTTTCAGCAGACTCTGGGCTTTATTACACAACATGCGCTATTGTTGTTGTTTTGTCTTTAGTCTGTTGAACATTAATGTGGTAGATAATGTAAAAAATGTAGAAATGACATTGCAATCTGATGACAATCTGCAGTCATGTTGTAGGAAAGTGGGAGCCTTTTGATAGATATTGAGGATCTAACTGGCCTTGATATTACAAAATATGCTGAAAATGTTAGCGGGAATTTTAGTGCTAGCTTTATTTATTTATTAACATCCCCATTAGCTGTTACCTTGGCAACAATTACTCTTCCCCTGGTCCATTTAAGATAAACATACAGCGGACATCTCTAACTGCTATAATCCCCACCCATTAAAGTCAGTATTACTTTGATTTCATTCATCGCTAATCTGTTTGCCATCAGTTACGAAAAGCATTTTTGAGGTAATTTAATTGAGGTTTGTTTTTTTATTTTGGCTCTTCTGTGTGATTGTAATTTGCAACTGCTTGCGTTTAGTTTTTTTTGTGATATGAATGGGAATGGTTTTTATTTTGTCTGACTGGCGAGCCAAAGAAATGAGCTGAGAGCTGCGTGAGGCTGCCATCTGCCGCGTTGTTTCTCGTAGGGTCGGCAGTTCTTTGCTTTGGTGTAGTGATATTGCATATTACAGCGTGGAAGCAGGCACACCCACGTATGGATGAACATTATTGGAAGCATTCGGCAATTATCAAATAAAGTGTTGCTGACTCTCTCTCTCTCTCTCTCTGGACAGTTTTACAGTTGGCTTTGTAGATAATATGTTGGGCTGTGCTCGACGCAGGTTGATCAGTTATTACCCTGTGGAGTCTGTGACATTTAAAATGGCATGCAGCCAAGGCTCACTCCCTGTAATAAGGGATATGCATTATGGTTTATGGTCACATCCTGTGAACATTTGTATCGATGTGTGTGTGTGTGTGTGTGTGTGTGCGTGCGCTCTTCTGTGTGAGCTGAAGGTCAGTCTGGATGTGTTGAAAGCTATTTGGCTCTCTGACATGAATCCTTTTTCTCCTCCTTATAGCTAGCCTTCACTTAGCCGTATGTGTTTAATAAGCGGACTTCCTCCGTATGATGTGGCTGTGTACACACAGCAAGTGTGTACACAGCCACACGGTAAAAGTGAAACACAAATCATACACCACTAAAACATTTTTTTATCAGTTAGTGTCCGTGAGCTCTAATACAAAATGCCAAACCAAACTTGCTCTCCACCCAAAGATATCATTTGTTTATATTTTCAATGAATAGTTTTACGTTTCCAGTAAAAGGGCCAAAATGACTGGACCTTTTCAGCTGATCTTAATGGTACAAACTCATTAATTTATGTAAAATATAATTACCCTCCTCAGGCCACAACAGATTTTCAACCAACATTAGTTTGCCATGGTTACAGTGGGCAGTTGATTATCTTGTAGCATGCAGGGATTCATGAGTCAAACCTCTTGGCCTCACGCCGAACCTCAAACCAGTGGGAGGCATCACAATTAGCCACCAAACATGTTTGATTTGAATGACTGGAATCTGAACAAGATCCAGTAGTCTGGCGGAGATCTGAGCTCAGATTATGTGGTGATCAATTCAACGTGTGATGGCAACTCCTTTTGGTGAGGTAGGGAGTTTCCTACATAAGCCATGACGGTTCCATCCCCTTTGTCATCCTTAAACCGAATTTATTTAGGCTTAACTTTAAATTTTCTAGAACTTTGAATCGCCGTCCATCTCAACCTAAATTGGTCGACATCACGCTTCGGCCGTCGCCGCTGAACGAGCCTGAAGCCGCTCCCTCCGCTGTTCTGCAGAACAAAGCGTGAGGTAACCTGAGAATTATGTTTGACCTTCCTCTTATGATGCCTCCGAAGAATTCAAATCCTATTGCTCCCGAGCATGAAGGGTGGATACCCAGAGTAATGTTCCGTGAGTGAATCAAATGGCTTTAAGCCTTGTTTAAAGAGCGCTCGACCAGCAAGAAAAAAGAACGTGCAAATCTCTTGTACAAGTACTCCCATATACAACTGAGTAAAGCACTGAATTAGTCAAAGAAGAGCAACAGTTCAAGTGTTCAAAATGTGGTCGATAAGCTCAAGGCATCTGATGCCTTTTGTTCCATCTTGGGATAATTTAGCAGGCTTCAAAGTAGTACTAGTAGATACGGCAGAAAATGTTATCGCGATTAAAAAAAATAATTCTGCCCTTTTTAGTGTGCATTTGTTCTGTAAAGATTCATCCATTATAGAAACAAAACAGAATGTCCTTTAACAGATTTTAAAGCAGAAAAGGTCATTCTAAGCTCTTCACTGAGCCTGCTGCAGAGCGTCTAACTCTTGTGATATTACATATGAATTCAGTGAGTGCTTTGTGAGGACTGGCTTATCTTTTTCTGTAAAGATTAGTCACTCTGATGGCTCTCCAGCAGATACAAAAGAGCTCTTTTTTTTTTTTTTTTTTTTTTTTTCTTTTTTTGCTGAAGGCTTGATCCAACTACGGGGGAAGGAAGTCATGGGTATAATTACTAAGATGAGAAATTCCACTCCCGCTCCAGGTCATGATGAGATCTTTTTATCTCTACCAGCGTACGTCATTGACATATAGATAATCTCAGAATCACTGGAGACCAGAGTCGTTTCAAAGGACCTCAAGGTCGACAAAGTCTTTACGCCCACAGCGCCAACAGCATTTTCCTCCATTTCTTCAGATTCTATTTTCTCAAGTACAGCAGAGTGTTTGAACATGCAATGTATATAATCATTTGTAATTATCCGAACAATTGTGCTCTTCCAGTAGAAGTAATGCTATGTTTAGTTGTTGAGCATGGAAGTACATATGCACTCTTGATATGTTGGATAGTATTAGATAACATGGGATATGGAGTGTCTCTTTCTATTACAGATGGACAGCCTCAACAGTCAACTCTGTCTTATTTTGGTTTTCATTATCATAATTAAGCAATATAACGATGTTCTCCAAATAAAGGTGTTTTTGTTTTTTTTGTTGCTGTCACCAGCAAAAACAAATTGCTTAAAGTACATGCTGTTAGTAGTATATTGTAGAGCTCAGTGAAAACAATGGGCTGGGTAATTATAGACCAATTGCTCCACTTTACCACCGTCAAACTGGAGGACGTTGTTAATTTCTCTCCTCTCCTTCGGTATCTCTCTTATTTTGGAAGAAAACCACAACAAAATTAAGCCATAATCGCTCCTGTCTTGTGAGCTCAGTCAGTTTGCAATCTGGTCGGTGTTTATCATCGTTAGACGATTGTGGACGTGAAATGTTCTCACCGTCTCTAATAGCCGTTAATGGCCTCAAAGTGAGGATCCTTAAGACTCCACTCCTGGTTGATATGGTGGTACCTGTGGATACTGGTGGTAATAGCAAGTGCAGTTCAACACGAGCAGCAAATGACTCCTTGAGCAGCTGCTCCGTCAGAAATACAATCCACTGGTGTATCTGATTACATTGAATGCTCTTAATGTGAAGCAACAGCAGTAGGAAGTGTTGGGTTTGAATTAGCAGTGATTTACTGAAGCTGTGATGTAGTGTTAGCAGAGTCAACAGCAGGCAGTGAGTTAGAATTAATACAGTAAAGCTAGATCATATGCACAACTCATTTCCCTCGTGCATGTGAAGACAATTTGGACTTGGACTGGCGGACTCCGCCACTAACAATGAAAAATGCCTTATAGAGCAGTAATTAGAGAATGGCTGCCATAAATATTATAAAAAAGGGTCGGATTTCTTAACTACTATTCTACGGCTCTAATCCAGCAACATTTTCTTCATTTAACTTAACTCATCACACTCATGATTAGTGCATGACAATGGGGCTGTCATTTACAGAATATGTATGTAACACTAACACACTCAAACGCATCTAACACAGCAGCAACACTAGCAGCTACTGCATGACGTCTCGTGATTTGTCTCAATGTGCTCTGTTTAAAGAATGCAGGCCACTGAATTTCCAGTACAATACATATTCAGCACCCTTATAGGAATTGCTTGAAGCAAAATAATCTATATGTACTTGTTCCTGTTTAAGAGCCACGTGCCAAGGGACTAGTGAGTATACATCGCATGTAACTGATTCTCTTTATTTGTTTCTCATGCATTCAACATCATAGCCCTTGTACACAACACCTTACCAGCTCTCTGTTCAATATCATTTGCGTCTTCTGCGCATACATTATAGAGCTGTTGCAATATGTATGTCTTTTATCCCTCAGGTTGCACCTCATATAGAAATAAGGCAATATATTCACAGTGAAAATATTGCAGTTGAATTTTGCTCCACTAACCATCGGCTGCACTGTTACCTTGTGATTACCTCTTCGTTTTATGTGTGAAATTGAAGCACCATGGGATTGCGAATAGAGCGAGCCAATTACCTAACAAACGTCCACCTTCTCTCCTGAGGTGGTCGTGATTTTTTTTTTCCCAGTCCCCTCTATTTCTCCCCTGCGCTCTTCTTCTGTCATCCGCTGCTGGGAGACAGAAAGAGGTTAGAGCGACGGAAGTCCTTTTTTTGATTATTTATTCATGGATTTTCCATTTAATATTCATGCCTTTTTTCCAGGACTATCTGGGTGCAGAGGAGAATTTTCTGCCTCGGAGGTGGCCGGGGCCAAAAAATCAGGTTTCGGCTCCAATGAGCTCAGCGGATGGAGGGAAGAGAGAGGCAGAGAGATGGATAGAGAGGGAACAAGAGAGCGGGGTTTCATGTGTTCTCTAGTAAATGAGAGGCAGGCCTTGAAGGTGACAGGCTGTGTTTATTACTGATCTGTCAGCCGGTTAATGGGGAGAGGAGAGGAGAGGAGAGAGCTGAGCTGAGCTGTCGAGCAGAGACCAGAGCACACAGGCATGGGAGCGAGAGGGAGCCCCAAGCAATAAACTTTGCCATACTAGAAGTGCTTGTCCTTACAGATTCACTGGCAACACTCCTGCATGCTGAATTGCATTCACTGGAAACTAAATTAGTCTGTAACAAAGAGTATTTTACTGTATTGTTATGAAAATGGTATTTTTGAAAACGGAAAGGAATGCACTGTATCCCTATTTTTGACTGCTGTACTTTCTAAAGCCCAAATTATACATTCTGTATCCATGTGGCTGCGTACATTTTATTATCTACCTGTGTCTGCGAGGGTCTGTGCAGCATAAAATGTATGACTTTGTGTGACTCCCCGCAGAATATCGAGTGAGCACATCCGTATACATGCAGACAGGCTGGAACATGCTTCTCCAGGCTGCATGTGGGAGGATGTGCACGAGGGGTGTTTGGAGCAGTTTTCTTGTCTTTTTCTTTTACACTTGTGTGTACGATCAGCTTGATTGGCGCTGCGGGCGTTGTTGGGATTTGGGAGGCCTGCACATTGGCTTCTCTGTGAGCCTTTGCGACCTGCAGTTACCCACAACACCCTTCTATGTGTCGGTTCACGGGGCCGTGTCTGTAAATCTTCTGAAATCTATCAGAAAATTCTATTTTGGACTAAATCCGGTCATCAACGTGTCAAAACAACAGTCCCCCACATTCACCTCAACTACAGCTTGAGTAGAAAACAACCAACACTTTTCCATTATGTACAGAATAATCACAAAAAAGGCTATTATGAAAGAATGAATTGTTACCTTTGTCATGGAGGTTATGGCGTTATCAGGCCATCTTAACAGCGTAACAGATTACTATAAAGTATTACATTTATTGTGCCGATAACAATCCAGGTGCATATCTAAGATTTGGTTCAAGGATCTCTTAACGTTGCAAGATTCACTAGATTGGACATATTTAGCTGTATCCTCGTGTTAATCTTACTGCACTTACATGAATAAGAACAATCTGGCATAAGTACTGTATCCTAAGATTATCTTTGTGCATTTTGCTGTAGATCAAATGCCATAACATTAACATTTTTTTAGTACCGTGTAGCCTTGACAGAAACGTGCTTTGCCGGAGAGCTTTGTGCAGTATTTGATTGCACTTGAGCCCAGAGGTTTTATCAGCTGCCCTCGGTAATGAAACCTTTGGTTTTTCCGTCTCAGCAAAGGGTGAAAAGCCTGTGTAAAGATATTGCTCTTTGTTGTAGCAATAGATTTGTCTTTCCTTATCTCAACTCAGCATTGTTGCCTTTATCAGTCACCATTACAAAATCCATATCAGTCAGCATTTGACGTGCCAGTGCTTTCTTCAGTGTCACGTTTTCTGCATGACTGGCAACGCTTTCTGCAGATTCTGTTGACTTGTTATTTAATGTAATGCAATTATCGCTTGTTACAAGGCTTCATATGTATGTGTCTGCATGCTGCTCTGGTTTAAACAGATATCCGAATGCATTCAGTTATACTATAGATGTGTGGGAAGCTTACTGTATCTTTTGTTATGGATATAGATGTTACTGCATTGTTGCACAAGCCAGTTTTTCTGATGATGCCTGTGAGGGTTATACTCCTGAGGTTCAAATTGATTTAGTCTTCCGGATGAAAGTGTAGCAAGGAGAGCAATGCCCGTTTCATGCACTCAGCGCTGTGGATTTAAAAAACATGGGCTTTCCAACCAAATTATTTCTGCGAACAAGTGATTTTTTTTACTGGAAAGGGAAAAAAACCTCAAACCCTATTTTCCCCGTGCAGGCTTGGGCCCATCAGAAGTATCTGTTTTCATTCTTACCTCAGGCTTATAAAGTGCACAGCATTCATTCTGATCCAGGGTTTGAACGCTGCTCATCTCCTCTCAAAGCAGCAAACGCATCACACTTTCTTCTATGGTCTCACATTCTCACATTATATGGGTCAGTGTACGTGAAGTTAGAGGCACAAAACAGCACTTACACTGGCTTCACTTCATCTTTTGGGTGCATTGTAAATACATAAGTAATCACAGCTCTGGGTCTGTCTCTTCTGTGACTGGACCCTTATGTTGGTTAGCTTTCTGGTTTCATTCCCACATTTTCTTTTGTCTTCCCTATTTTGTCCATTGTTTCTCCCCCTCTGTCTTTGTCTCCGTCCTAAACCTGTCGGAGTAATCAATCTGGATCGGCACTGAGAAGGGGGGATGCAGACAGATGTGCTTTGCAATGTGATCGATGTTCTTGATTTGTGAGAGATTACTGCTGTGTGTGTGTGTGTGTGTGTGTGTGTGTGTGTGTGTGTGTGTGTGT